AAGCAGAGGGACAGGCTCTGAACACCTAGACATAACCAACCTGAAGAGCCTGTCGCATTACTCCCGACAGCACACAATTAGGAGGTCAGGACTTCATGCTACAAATCCCTTCTGTTCGATGATCCAGAGTATATTCTCCCAAAATCCGTGCTTCAGGGAATGCACAGTGCTTAGAAGTTCTCCCTTCCTAATCCTTTGTTGCAACAGTAGTCTCTAACACGGTCAGCAAGCTTAAAAGACATTACTATACCATCTAGTTTTCACTCCAGAGCTGTGCTGTGTGCTAAGGAAGCCACTAGCCACATGTGGCTATTTAAATTACAAATAAATAAAATTTAAAGCGCTCCTCAATCACACTAGCCACATTTTGAGGGCTCAACAGTCACACTTGGCTAGTGGCTACCATATTTGGGGAGCAGATGTAGAGTATTTCCTTCACTATGGAAAGTTCTCTCAGATAGTTCTGCTCCAGAGGCAACTTTCTGCCCAGCCTATACTTAAGGCCTCTTCTAGAAAGGTCCTTTGGAATGATGTGTCAGGGACTTATCTTCAGCAATTTATAACAGCTACTCTTGGAAAATGGTGGGGCCCTTTTCACTGCTTTCCTGAGTCAGGGACAAATACAGAACTCCATGGCTTAAGGCGGCTGAAGCAGAAGGCCTTGTTTATTTTTGGTCAGTGAGCCCAACAGTTCAGGGTGGGGGTGGGAGGGTGTTATATTTAACTGCCGAATTTATGCACAGCCATGCAGTGCTACCAGTTAAAGTCCTTACAGTTGCATGGCATCGCCCTCCAGACGCCCAGCCACAGCTTGGACATATCCTTCCACAGCCACTGTCCGGACTTGCATATAAAGTCTATGAATAATAAAGAGCAGGTTTTATTTCAGGTCTGAATAAGGATTACCTCTTACTGGAAATTTGACAGAGAACCCACTAATTCTTAAATTAATTATTCAATGCTCTCCATTTTACTGACAAAACTTAGGCGCTGTGGAGATGAAGATCACCCTACTCTTTCTATATTTTAGCATCGGAAATCTTTGGCTAAGGCTGTTCAGACTTCCTGTGCTGCAGGAGAAAGGATAAGATTATTTCCCTCTTTTGGAAGTCATTTAACATGGAATAAATAAAGGATTTTCAGAAGGTCATCTAAAACAGAAACCAAAATTTCTTTGTGGTAAAATCCAGTGAATTGATTTTAAGGGCAAAGGATCAGGAAAAGAGATTAATATACTCATTGATAACATAGAAATAGGCCACACTGATGGCAAACTACCTAAATAAGACAACAAAAAGTTACTTATTGGTACCTGACAAAATGGGAATTCTCTGAACTTCTCTTTCCTCCAGAGAAGTTTCTGCTTTTGCCCTGAGCCACCTTGCAATCATCCTTCATGTCCTGACAGCCTCAGTGGACTGCCTGATAGAGATCACCAGCTGCTTCTGCAGCATTAAGACCCATCCTCTCACCTGCTTAAGTTTTAATGCTGCCTGGACAGAGGGTCTATTCTCCATCTGCTGGGCCAGTCTTCTGTTTCTGGCACTGGCTAGCTGCTGTTGTTGCTGCATCGAAGCCCGAATATTCACTGGCATCGGCTGTTTGTTCTTCAGCATATTAGTAAAGCTTCAAGGTCGAACAGAATGGATGTTTAAATAAAAGCTTTATTACAAAACATTTATTGGCATTTTCATGGCTTGCTAGACCAGGAGCTCCAGATCCCACGAACTTTAAGTAAAGTGGTACACTTAGATCAAGGCTGAAGTGGGTTAAAGACTCCTCTGCTTCCACAAACTTGCAAGAATCAGAAACTCAGAAACGCAGCTAGGTGCAGCACATTCAATCAAAAGTGGTAACAAGGGCTCAGATAACGGCTTTTAAGAGAGGTGGAAGGTATGAAAAACACGCAGTAAGCAGATATGATGACAACAAAAGACAGAAAATGTAGTTTCAAAGACAAACAAAGAAAGCCAAAATCTTGGGGGAACCTGAGGGTGCACTGTAAGAACAAATATAAGGAAGGACTAGAGCACCTTCAGAGCCCACGGAAATAGTACACCCATATGAATTATAGGAGTATATCTTATTTTCTTACGTAATTTGTATTATTTGCTTAGTAACACGTAATCATGGAGAATCAGTATATCGTACCCTAAGAGATAAGAAGCAGCACATATGCTTCAAAAAAGAAAAAAAACATCAACTAAATGAAATCATTGGTCAAAGGCACTCAATACAGAGCTCTGGGAAATAAAATCTGTACCTTAAGTACCTTAAATTTTCTTAGTCTCAAAGGATTACTTTTCCTAACTCCAAGTGATTACTTCTGAGAAAATCAGATTACTTTAATCACTTAACAGCTTGTGAAGACACTCCTCTGTTATTCCTGTCAAATAAGTTTAGTGGCACAAAAAAGAACACTTAATTGTAAAAGAATCTAACACAGAAACAAACTAAAAGCAGGACTGAAAGAAAGAGAAATGGAGCAAAGCAAGTGCCTCTTACAAGGCCCAAGAATGGCATTCAAGGGCCTTTGGACATATCCACAGCTTGCTACCTGCCTCTTACAGGCCAGACACAACACTGCTGGCCTCGGACTGGGCAGCAAACCTACTGCAGCCAAGGTACCATGCTACCGAGCTGCACCACCCCTGTATCAATGTAAAAAAAATGTGAAGAAGAGGGAGGGTGTGAGGAGTCTTTTAAAATACATCCCACCAGATAAATATGTCAGACAGCTTAACATAAAAATCTACTGATAAGGGGTTTTGAAACAACCGCCCAATTTGTTTTGTGTACCACATAAGATCCAACTAAAAACAGAGGTCTGTAGCCTTCTGTTGGTATTTAGTTTAAAATTGGTTTTTGTGCACTGGACCCCAGGGCCAAGTTAAGTAATGTTTTCTTATGAACGAGCTGAAGTTGCTGTTGGCTGCCTCACCGCTCATTTAGAGACATCTTGGTGGTGCTTTTTAGCACAACTTTCGGCGCTGACTGTGCAGCCATCTTCAGATCCCGAGAATCTACAAAGGACAATAGGGCAGAATGAGCAAATCAGAGCAAGGATCCCCTCGTTTCTACAGGCATCAACCACCCGGGCCAGCAATGAATGAAAACCAAAGGCCTGTACCAGGACTACTGAAGGTCCCACTAAGACTCGTTTTGGGTGCTACATTCACAGCAGTTACCGCAGACTTCAAGGCCGCAGGACAGAAAACACCTACCCTAACCCCCCAAACGGCAGACCTCGACCAAGCCAAAGGAAGCGTAAGTTTGGCTTTTAATTTACAGTAGTCCTTTCCAGCCTTGGCTGCAAGAAGCTTTCAGAAACACAAGGAACCCGGATCCACCTCCCCACCCCCGAGTGAATCCCAATCTCGGCGGTGAGGCCTGGGGGTGGGCCAAGGGGGCGGGATGAAGGCGCCTCGCTGCTCCTCACACGCAGCCAGCACTGAGAGCCCCTGACCTGGGCACACGGTGCAGGCTGACCCGTGTCAAAAACGGCTTTCGGCGCCACCATCGAGGGGGAGCCTCGGCGAGGGCCTGGCGACCGGGCGGACGGAGGACCCCACCCGGACACCGCCCCGCCGCCGCCGGCTCCGCCCCCCGGGGCCCGCCGTGCCGCCCCGCCACTCCCCCCTCGCCACGGAAACGCACCGAAGGAAACGGACGCCAGTGCGCCTCCCGGGGCTGCCACCACGGCTGCGGCGCGCGGGCCGGGGCCCGGCGGAACCTGAGTTGACTTGGTGGGCGGTTGGTTAGAGGTGTAAGCGGTAGGCTGCTAGGTTAGCTCGTCGTTGCCAGCCGGCTGTCTGGTCTGCCGGTCCGCCTGCTCGCCCGGCCTGCCCTTTCCTGCCTTGCGTAGGTGCCACCACAGCCGCCGCCGCCGCCTCCTCCCGCTCGGTGTCCAAAACAAAATGGCCGCCACGCCCAGAGCCGAGTGGGACCGGCTAAAATGGCGTCGACGCAATTACGCCAGACGTCAGATCCGCGCACAGCTGGGTGATGGGAGAAGGTGAGCGCTACGCCTGCGCGGGGTTTGGGGCGGAGCCCTGGGGAAAGGCGGGGCCTTAGCAAAGGTGGGGTCTGAGTTACACTCCGCCCCGCCCGCGGAGGGGCGAGGCCAGTGCTCGCGGTTGGTGGTCTTGGAGGTTGTCGGTCCAGGCAGGGTGGACCCCTGAGAGCAGTTTCGGTCTCGGGGTGAAAGATGTCGCGGCGCCCCGCCCCGGCCAAGGGCGACCATCTACAACTCCGTACGCGGGATTTGCCTCGAGTGCCTCTTCCCGAGTCCCTGGGCCCCGGTGCCGGACGCGGGCTCTCTCCGAGCTGTGAAGGGCCATAGACGCCCCGGCCAAGGCCAGGGCGCCGGGTCCTACGCCAGTCACCAATGCCTGTGCGTATTTTTCTCGTCCTGAATATTGTTAAATCCCTATGGGGGGTGTTTTTGTGTCCCTGCTCCCCCTTCCATGTCCTCCCCATCTGCCAGTCCCGTGCGTTTCGATGCAGACCTACACAGGATTTTTCTTATGCCTGGGTACACAATAAAAATACTCAGATGTTTGAGGAATGAGTGAATGAACACATCTTCAACCCTTCTGCATATACGTGCATCATGATCCTTTCGTTTCTTCCTAGCATTTGTGTGTGTGTGTGTGTGTGTGTGTGTTTAATGAATGGTCTGGCATCCTTCCTGGACTTTACCTGTGTGAGAGTAAGGGTCGTGTTTGTTTTGTGCACTGCTACATCCTCGGTTTCTACACAATGTTTAGCACATGGTAGGTCCTCAGTAAATATTCTTTGCAGACTGAAGGGAAATTCTTCTGTCTTTGCAGCTGGAACTTTGAACACCTACCTTCCTGGGCCTTGAGCATTCCTCAGCTAGGAAGATGTAATGTCCCCTTGACCTCTCTCGGAATAAGATCCCTTCCCAAATAAGGTGAATTGGGAGTGAGCAACCTTGATTTACTCACTCCCAGACCCCAAAGGAGACAGACAGCAGCTGGCCAGAGAAGAGCCTTTAATGAACGATGAGTTGCAGGCTTGGCCCACTACTCTTGCGCCCTTGGTGGAGGGTGGGCAAGGGTAGGAGTGTAGGGAGGGAAAAGTGGGGTGAGGGGGAAGGGCGCTGCCCACTGGGGCTGTCTGCTCAGCTGTTCTCCCAGAAAAAGTTGTTGCAGGCTACTGTGAGGGCAGCCACCAGCACCACGTACTCCTGGAAGTCTACCTCCCCATCTCCATTCTCGTCTAGCTCTTTCATCACCTTGTCCACAGCATCTGCATCCTTCTGGGCCTGTGGTGGGAGGAGATGGAAAGGTGGGTTTATAGGGAGATGAATAGTACTGAATCAGAGGCAAGGGGGGTAGTTGATTGGGAAGAAGGAGGCAGAGATGAGCAAGAGGCAGAACGACATCTAATTATGGGACTGTTCTGAGTCCCTCCTTAAAACTAACACTGGTGGCCTCCTGTCACCTACAGAATAAACCCCTTAACAAGGCAGAGTAATAACAACATCGATTACCATATGTTGAGTGCCTAAAGAAGCTTTACAGGGATTGTCTTGTAAAATTGTTAATTCCAACACAATAGTATGAGGTAGGTTTCATTATTCACATACTAGAGAATAAGCAAATTAACAGTTGGTGGTTAAATAACGTGCCTAAGTCACACAGCTGGAAGGTGGCAGGGTCAGAATTGGAGCCCAGGCCTGATAAAACCTCAAAGCTGGTGCACTTTCTCCTGGCTTCTTTATTATAGGGCCCCTGTCAGCATTTGTAGCCTACTTTTCTGCATCCTTCACTCTGGTCAAAACTACTGAGCATGCTCCATGTTCTTTCTTCCAGGCTTTTGTTCATGCAGATACCTCCTAATATGTCTACATTTATCCTAATAAAATTCCAGTGGAAATCCATGGCTCAAGTGCCACCTCTTTGGAGAAGCCCACTTCAGTCAGGTTGGTATTGTCCCGAAGTCCTTTCTGGCAATTCTGTTAAAGCTCTGCGTAGTTCCTAAGTGGCTGGCCCAAGGATTCATGGGGACGGGGATCTAAGTGCCTCTGAGCTTCCTGTCAGCAGACTGGGGCCTCTTTTGGGGGGCTCTCCTGAACAGATCACTTCCTGGTGTTCATGGTTTACTTCCATGCGTCAGTCTTTCCCTTCTAGACCGTGAGCCTTCTTTAATGATGCGTCTGCATGGGTCCTAACACTTAACAGGTGATTAACAAATTAGGGTATTTTGTCTTGAACCAAGAAAAATCCAGGAAAGAAGTCTGGGAGAAGAAGATGATTGGACTGAGTTGGGGTGGGGTGGGAAGATGGTAGGGAGGTCCCCAGTTGTAGTGCCCCCACCCCTTACCCATCCCACCCTGTACCCCGCTCTGTGCTCACGTCCAGGAAGCCGGAGAGCTCAGTCTGCAGCAGCTCTTTTAGCTCCTTCTTGCTCAGCTTGTACTTGTCTCCCTCCTTGCCCGAGTGGGCATGGAACACATTGATGAGAGTCTCCATCGCTGTCTCCAGCTCAGAGCCCATCGCGCAGCTCACCTACCCACCCCCACCATGGAAGTAAGTTGGGGACCACGCTCAGTGTGTCTAGGGTTGGGGGAGGGGAGCCCTCAGACCTGGCCCCAGTCCTGCACCTGAAATCGCCCTGAGAACAGAGCCACACTGCAATTTATCTCTCACTGAGACTTTGGGATGTGGGAACCCAAACAGGCCTAAATCCAGGCTTGTTCTCTGTGTCCCTCAATCCGTATCCCAGCCAGAGGGAGTCAGGGACTGGGGCCGTGGAGGTAGAGCAGCTGGAGCTGGGCTGGCTCTAGAGGCCTGCAGTGGCCTCTGCAGTGGCTCCTGGCTGCCTGGGTGGACACTGAGGAGGGCGGGGCAGGCAGGAGGGGTGGTCACAGGACACCGCCAAGTTTCCTCTGGCTCTATTTTTACCCTGCCCTGCCTGCCTAGCGCAGCTAAGCACTGCTGCTGCGGGTGGTGAGCTGCGTTCTCTACAGCCTTGACTCTGCTGTCTACCCCTAGCAAGGAGCCAGTCTGGTGCCCTCAGCCGGCCTGATGGAGAGAGTGGCAGCCAGAGTGGCCCAAGGCTTCGTGGGGACGGGGATCTAAGTGCCTTTGAGCTTCCTGTCAGCAGACTGGGGCCTCTTTTGGGCCTTCAACTCTGCTCTCTCCTGAACAGGTCACTTCGGTTTCCCTGGGGTGCACCTCCGTTACCTCTAGTTTGGTTCCTCTTACTTCTCTGCAGAATCAGGCCTTCCATCAAGTGATGGTGGGAAGGGAGAGAGGAATGACCAAGCCTTTCCCCAGAGCCAGGGCTCTCAGCGAGAGGGAGAGGAGACCTCTGGGGCCCTGTCCCTGCTGCTGCCCCCTCCCTAGCCTAGGCCCAGCCTGAATGATGTGAGGGCAGTGGTAGTGGGAGAATGGGTCTGATATATGTTGGGGGAGATAAAAGGTTGAGTATGTCCTCTGAATTCAAGGGGAGCGAAGAAAAGAAAAATGGAGGGTTTTGTTGAGGAGAGGGAACTGCCAAGCCAGTGGGCCTCTTTCTTTTGGCCTTGGGATGGTCATGCCCTCCACAGCCTCAGGGGACAGCTCAGGTGTCTCAGATCAGGTGTCCTTGTGTTTCTCCAGTCCTGGGGGGCTGAACAATGGGCCCTGATCGAATGACATTCCACCTTTACAATGGGAACCTTGTGAGTGTCACCTGAACTCTGGACACGAGAAGCAGTTGTCACAGAGACCTGGGGAGATGGAACCCCAGCCGGGACTGATGGAGGGGATAAGGGTGTTTGTGGGGGAGGGCTGTTGGTGGCTCAGTTATTGGCCACATCCAGGAGGGGCACTTAGAGGTTGCCTGGAGCCCTTGAGCAGCCTGGGATTTTATGTAGGGGCCGTTTGGAGAGTACTTTGGCAGGGAGGGGGCAGACAGGAAAACAAAGGGAAAGACTTGAAGGAAAGAGGAGTCTGGAAGTCTGAGCCAAGAAAGGGAGGAGAAAGGGAAGGTCACGTGAAAGGAAAGTTGGGAGTGGGTACAGTACCCTAATGCCCCCTCCTCTTGATCTCACATGGTCCATGCTCTGCCACCCCCAGACTTCCCTGGGACCTGAGCCCTTGGCAAGGCTGGGTGGTGGTGGGCGTGGGGACAGAAGCAACAGTTCCATTTGCTTTCTTATTCTTACCCGCCTGGAAGCAAGGTGGGAGCTGGCTCCCTTCCCCAGCACCGGGAGATTGAGAGAGCCTTGGGAGGGCACTCTGAGGGCTCTGTGGTAGGAGGGCTTGATCTCCTGGAAGCTTGGTGGCTGGGCTCCCCACTGGCTTCTTCATTCTCTGAGGAATACCACAGACCTCCCTCTGACCTTCACTTGCTTCCCTGCACTACTGTCCAAACCTTGTCTCCCCCAAATCCCAAACTGCTGTCACTCAAACCCCTCCCAGACCCTCGGTGCAGCAGAATGCTATTGTCCCCAGACTTTAGGAGCCCTGCTGAAGTCCCCTTTCCCCCAAGCTGGCCACAGCAGAGACCTAGCACAGATGGGGCAGGATACTCACTGTCAGCCTGGACCTGAGGTGGGAGCAGGTTCTGGACAGACAGACGAGTCTGCAAATGTGGCTAAGGGAGCTTTGTGGGGAGACCTGTCTTCAGTCCTTCCCCCGCTGACCCCCCCTCCCCACTGGCTCCACCCCTTCACAGACAGACACCCAGTGGGGCAAGGGGCCAGGAGTGGACAGAGGCGCCCTCTGTCTCCTGGGCTAGAACAGGCTGCCCTGTGTCTTCTTGTCCAGCCTCAGTTGCCTCCCCCCTCCCTGCTGGGCACCAGCAGGCAGGGCCCAGGAGGGAGGGGGGTGGGAAGGGTCCTGGGAGGGACACGGAGAGGCGTCGCCCCACCCCCACCCCAGCACTGGCAGGAAAGGGGAGGATCCTGCTCAGGGGTCTCAGTGAGGGGACCTCTCAGTGAATCCCTTAATCTTGGGAGTCTCACTCCCCGCTGAGAGATTTCAGTCCAGGAAATCTTCCTCCACGGGGGTCTCAGCGGGATTCCCCTCTGTGTGTGGGAGCCTCTTGGGGGTCTTGGGCTGCGGGGTCCTTTTCAGGATCTCATTCGGAAGGGCTCTCTGTGGTGCATCTCAGACTGAACTCCCGGGCAGGGCTCCCTCTCAGGCCTCTAGGATGCAGAGCGTACCGGGGCGGCAGACGCCCGGTGCCCGGAGGGGGTCTGTCCGGGAGGCGCCTTCCCGCCTGCCCCCTGCAGAGGGGCGCGCGTGGGCCGGGTCGGGCGGAGGGACCCGGGCACCGCGCCCGGCGGCTGGGGGGCGGGAGGCGGGTGAGAGGCGGGCCTGGGCGGTCTCCTCCCTCCGGCATCAAGGCAGAAGCTGGACACCTCCGGGCTGGGCTGGGGCTCCGTTCCCTCCTGCCCTCCGGCTCCTGCGCCCACCTCCACCTGCCGCGGTGAGTCCCGTGCCCCCCACCCTGGGGGCCGGGCGCCTTCCCGCGCCTCGCCCCCACCACCCCCGCCCCGGGGCTCCCGGGCATCTCCCCGAGCCAGCTCGGACTGGGGTTCGGGAGGCTTTGGGGGGGCCGGCCGCTGTCCTCGTGGAGGGGAGTGGCGGGAAGGGGCTGGAGGAGTGGGCTCGGCCTTGTGCCCGCTGCCCCTGCGGGGCGGGGTCTCTGCGGCCTGACCGCAGGCTGACCGCAGCCGGCTGTTTGCCTGACTCCGGGCTTCTCTGCTGGGAAGAGCGTGCGGGAGCGTGTGGGCGGGCGGGGTCCCTGCACAAACAAGCTTTGGAGACAAGCAGCCTCATGACCCCTTGGGGCCGCGTGAGCCTCCAAGAAAGGGCCCTTGGGACTGAAGGCCACAGAGGGGCCCCTCCAAAGTGCCTCCTCTCAGAGGGGTCTCCAAACCGAAGGGCCACCACCGAGGGATCCCTAAGGCACTGACACTTGGAAAGGACCACCAGGCTCAGACCTAGAGAGGATGGTGTTTCTGGAAGCAAACACCCCTTCCCCCACCTACACTGAGCTGTTGTTTCCTGGTCCCTGCCCCAGGCTCCATCCCTGACCCCTCTCTCCTGGCCCATAATGCTTCTTCCAAGCAGGGACCTGAGGTGGCAGTGCCAGGGCAGGGGCATTCTGGTCTATTCTAACTCCCTTTCTCTCCTTCCCTGTCCTACAGAGTCCTGATGGCAGCAGAACCACTGACTGAGCTGGAGGCCGCCATTGAGACGGTGGTCACCACCTTCTTCACCTTTGCGGGGCAGGGGGGCCGGAAGGGTAGCCTCAGCATCGATGAGTTTAGGGAACTGGCCACTCAGCAGTTGCCTCACTTGCTCAAGGTAGGTGGGGGTCTCTGGGCCTGAGATTTTGGAAGACAGTGGCTGCAGGACACTGTGGATGTGAGGTGATGTTTCTGGGCACAATAATGTGACCCCAGGCATGTGGTGGAGAAGGGTGTGGGTGACTGTGTGTGTAGCTTGGTAACACTGTTGATGAGAGTACAAGTGTGTTATTGGACTTTGTACGCCCCTCAGACAGAGCTATTGGGTGCTTGTGTCTGCTCTGTGCCTCTCTGGTCTTATCTCTCCACTACAGGAGTGGGCCCAAAGGTGGCTTCCCGGAGAGTCGTAGACCATCAGTGCTAGAAGGAGGCCAAGAGAAAACACAGACCAAACTCCTTACTTCACATGTATAGAAACTGAGGCCCAGCTGTAGAAAGGGGTTTGTCAAAAAGTCATAGCCCAGTTCATGCAGTGACAGAACCTCAGTGTAGGAGGGACCTGTAAGTAATCTTTGACTACTCCTCACCCCCTCTGGCAAACCCCTCAATAATGTAGCAGATAAGGTCATTCCTTCCTCGCTGGACAGAGTAGGAGTTTAGATTTCATCCACTACGAGTTGCCTAATCATAGCAGGCTGTTAAGTTTCTTTTATACCCTATCTGAGAATTCACAGGCACGTGAAAGTGTGTGGATATGGATTTAAAAACACACAAACAAACAACAAACACGTCTTGGAAACTCAGTCTATCATATGCAAAATCCAGTATATCTCTAGACTTCTCAGACTTTCCCCTTCCTCTTCTCTCGGACTCCGCTGGAGGTTCAACATTCCCTGTAGCCTTGCCACATAATGACTGGTTTTTCCTCCAAATCCAACTCCCTCTGGGCCTGGAAATGCAAGAAGTGACCTGTTAGCTTTTTGTCACTGCTTCCAGATCTTAGTTTCTTCTTCCTACTATGCAAAGCTCCTTGGAACCTGCCCCCTTTCAGCTCCTGCCTTCCTGTTTCTTTTTTTTTTTTTTTAAAGATTTTATTTATTTATTCATGAGAGACAGAGGGAGAGAGAGAGAGAGAGGGAGAGAGAGAGAGAGAGAGAAGCAGAGGGAGAAGCAGGCTCCCCGCCGAGCAGGGAGCCCGATGCGGGACTCGATCCCAGGAGCCTGGGATCATGACCTGAGCCGAAGGCAGACGCTTAACCATCTGAGCCACCCAGGCGCCCTGCCTTCCTGTTTCTTATCACTGCTTTTGTTGGGGTCCTCAGTCTGCACACAGAAAATTCATCCAACACCTGGGCCTTTCAACTTCTTCAACCGCTTGCTTCCAAAGATTCTGTCCTGCTTCTGATCGGCCTACTCCTTTGTTCTTGCTTCAGATCTTGTCATTACCAAAATAATGTGCCACCTCCAGAATCTCAGTTTCAAGCCTCCTTTTCCCTGGGTACCACCTCCTGCCACTCCAGCTCCGTTCCTCCACTCTAGCATTCCCTCGGCTCCGCGGGGACCGTCAGTCTCCTGACCCTGTCATGTTTTCTTTCCCATGTCAGCCCCTTGTGTCAGTTCTCTTCTCACTCAGCTGGGCTCTAAGGCTCAGCAGCGCAATCAGTCCCTCAACTCCCTTGATTCTGCTTCTCCCTGTGCTGGTTGACAGAATCTCAACCCAGGTTAAGTCCAATATTTCACCTCCATTAACTTGAGGGTTAAGTCTACCATTCTTTCTCAGATCCAAAATAAAGCAAAAATCTCCGTTCTCAAAGAAAAAAAAGAACAACAACAACCCAATCAATCATCTACGAACCATTCTGCCTCTGCACTTGTGTAGCTGAATCTGGCTTCAGGAAAAGGTGCTGCCATGTTGACTTGTCCTACTTTATAATTTTTATTATTCTTATTTTTTCACTGAAGTGTAGTTGATACACAGTGTTGACTTGTTTCTCTTTAGTTCTGGAACCACAGACTCCAAGGGGGCCCTTGGCACAGCCTGCCAATTCTGCTCCATTTCCCAATTTGGTTCATTTACCCCATCTTTCAGATGACAATGTCACAACTCTTCCTCTCTCCTCAAACCCCACTCCCTCTTTCCACATTCTCCCTCTCACTGAGAATTTTCTAGAGAAAATTAAGAGCAATCAGGAAACTCCTGTGTGCTGTTCCCCCAAATCTAAGCAGAGCAGCATTTACGCTGCCTGCCTGTTACCTGCGGCCTCTGTCTCTGCCCGCAGCAGCCCCTCCTCTGCTGCTCAACCCCGTTCTTTCTCACCACTTAAAATCTGGACTCTTTCAGTCCTCACTCCTCTCTCTGGCATCGTCAATTTTCCCTCTTCACTGGATTGTTCTGATCAGTTTCCCAATATTCTGTAATATCTCCCATCTTAAAAAAAGGAAAAAAACAAAACAAAACCCCAAACAGACCTCTCTCTTGGCTCTGTAAGTCCCTCCAGCCACGTCTTCTATCTCTGCTCCCCTTTATAGCAAAACTCAAATGCGGCAAAGTTACTTACACTTACTTGCTCTCCTGGTCCAAAATGCTCACTCCTTAGGTATTGGCTAGTCTTACTCTCACTGAACTCAGATTTCTGCTCAAATGGCAAATCCTCAGCATTGCCTTCCTTCACCTCAGAATGCAAAGATCACCTTCCTTGTCCTCTATTCCTTTACCCCCTTTATTTTCTTTCACAACACACCCATCACAACCTGACTTGCGTACACACTTGCATGTTACCAAGAATGTAAGTCCCATGAAGGAAAGGAATATGCTCACTGTTTTATCTCCAACACTTAGAGCAGATATCAAGTGAGTGAAATTAAAAAAAAAAAAAAAAGTTTAAAAAAAGAGTAAGAGTTGTTGAGTGAGTAAATGAATAAATGCATCTTAACTACTGTTCTACAAATACCTTTTTAAAAATGGAACCATGGGGCGCCTGGGTGGCTCAGTCTGTTAAGCAAGTGTGCCTTTGGCTCAGGTCATGATCCCAGGGTCCTGGGATCTGCCCGCTAAGGGCTCCCTGCTCAGCGGGAAGCCTGCTTCTCCCTCTCCCCCGCCTGCCACTCCCCCTGCTTATGTGCATGTGTGCGTTCTCTCTCTCTCCCTCTGTCAAATAAATAAATAAAATCTTTAAAAAAATGGATACTTTCCTGTTTTAAGAAAATGATGCACTATACATATGGTATATAGGTTAACACAAATTTATGTAGCTAAGTTTCTATTGATGGATATTTCTCATATCCATTTTCTTTTGCAAACATTCTCGTTTACGTTTCTTTACATACTTGAGGAAAATATTTAGGGTAAATGTGTGGCAGTAGAAATATTAGGTCAAAAGCATGTTTGTTTTTCATTTTTATGGATATTGCCTCCCAAGCAAGGTTTCAAGGCCAATAGTGTATACAATTGCCTATTTCCCTGTGTCCTTGCCTAAATCGGGTCTTATCAGACTTGGTTTTTGTTGATCTAATATGTGAAACTGATCCCTTGTTCTGATTTACACTTCTTGAATTCTGATTGAAATGGAACATTAAAAAGTTTTTTTGAGGGGTGCCTGGGTGGCTCAGTCGTTAAGCGTCTGCCTTCGGCTCAGGTCATGGTCCCAGGGTCCTGGGATTGAGCCCCGCGTTGGGTTCCCTGCTCCGCGGGAAGCCTGCTTCTCCCTCTCCCACTCCCCCTGCTTGTGTTCCCTCTCTCGCTGTGTCTCTCTCTGTCAAATAAATAATTAAAATCTTAAAAAAAAAAAAAGTTTTTTTGATGGACATGTATAATCCTTTGTGAACTGCTTGCTTATTTCTTTTATAAGAGATTTTCTTTTTCATATTGATTTATTATAGCTCTTTATAGAAGAAAGAAATTTGCCTTGTGTTTATTGTATGTGTTGTAAACATTTTCTCCTAACTTGTCCTTTGTCCTTTGACTTTATTTTTGGTAGTTTTGCCATACAGAATATAAAAAATTTTCATGTAGTCAAATCTATCAAACTTATAGTGAATGGCTGCTGTGTTTTATGCCAAGTTTGGAAAGGTCTTTCTCAGTTTAATATATTAAAAAAAAACCAATTTATTTTATTATTAAAATTTTCCTGCTGAAATACCACCTTTATTATTTATTCAATTCCCATATGTATTTTGGGTCTCTTTATTGGGTTTCATTAATCTGTTTATTATTTATTAACAATTTTATTTAATTATTGTAGTTTTAATATGCCTTAATTACCTGTAGGGTTGGTTTTCTTTCATTATTCTTATTTTTCAGAATTTTGTGGTGGATCCCACAGTTTGTTTTTCAAGAAGAATTTTAGAAACGTTTAATCATGTTAAAAAGAATCCTATAGAGGGATGCCTGGGTGGCTCAGTCAGAAGAGTGTGTGACTCTTGAACTCAGGGTTGTGAGTTTGTGCCCCATGTTGGGTGTAGAGGTTACTAAAAAAGAGTAAAATAAAATAAAACTTAAAAAAAAAGAATCCTGTAGATATTTAATTAGGACCATATAAAATTATATTTCAGGGAAAATTGACATCTTTACACTATTGATTGAGTCTTTCAAAAAAAAAGGGTACATTTTTCTATTCATGTTTTCTCATGTTCTTCAGTTCATTTTTCTTCACAAAAGCCTAATCGATTTCTTAATTTATGACTAAGTGCTTTATTTCATTTGTTACTATTTTTTTAAAAGATTTTATTTATTCATTTTACAGAGATCGAAAGAGAGAGAGAGTGCGCACGCGCGAACGCACAAGTAGGGGGAGCAGCAGAGGGAGAGGGAGAAGCAGGCTCTCTGCTGAGCAGGGAGGCCGATGCGGGGCTCCATCCCAGGACCCTGGGATCATGACCTGAGCCCCAAGGCACATGCTTACCTGACTGAGCCACCAGGCGCCCCCATTTGTTACTCTTTTAAACAGGATCTTTTGTATACTTTCTGACTGGGGGAAGAAATACAGAGTAGTGGATAGGAGCATAAGCTTTGAGTCAGAAAATCTAGGCTCAAATGCAGATCCCAGCTTGTCATCCCTGGTCACTTACTCTTTCTGAGCCTTAATTTCTTTTTTTTTTTTTTAAAGATTTTATTTATTTATTTATTTGAGAGAGAGAGAGAATGAGAGAGAGCACGAGAGGGAAGAGGGTCAGAGGGAGAAGCAGACTCCCCGCTGAGCAGGGAGCCCGATGCGGGACTCGATCCCGGGACTCCAGGATCATGACCCGAGCTGAAGGCAGTCGCTTAACCAACTGAGCCACCCAGGCGCCCTCTGAGCCTTAATTTCTTATCTGTGAAATAGACTTATAATGATACCTTCCTTGTTGGATTGCAGTTAGTCAATCAATATTTATTGAGCAACTACTATGTCCTGTCCTGACACTGTCTTAGGCTTTGGGTTACAGTGATGAACAGGCATCTGTTATGTGCCAGACATTCTCCCTGGCACTGGGATTACAATGGTGAACAAGGTGGACAAGGTCCCTGTCATTCCAGCAGATTATGAAGTTAGATGAAGTAAGGCATGTCCTGTGTTTAGCATAAGCCTTGGAACAGTCAGCACTATTAAGTGCTTATAATTGTTGAAATGTTAGTCATTGTCACTCTTGGTTTTTCCTAGGTATGCAATTATATAACTGCTAATATAATAAGAAGTGAATTTGCCTCTTCTTTCCTAATACTCATACCTTTTATTTCTTTCTCTTGATTAATTGTATGTTTTCTTCCCTCCCAATATGTTACACTGGGCATCTTTGCCTTCCACTGACAGTGCTTATCCTGTTTTACAATTAAGCGTGATTGTGGGGGCGCCTGGGGGGCTCAATCGATTGAGTGTCTGCCTTCGGCTCAGGTCATGATCCCAGGGTCTTGGATTCGAGCCCCACGTCGGGATCCCTGCTTAGCGGGAGTCTGCTTCTTCCTCTGCCTCTCCGCCCACTTGCGGTTGCTCTCTCTCTCTCCCAAATAAATATAAAAAATCTTAAAAAAAAAGAAAAAGGCATGATTGTGGCTTTTACAAAGGTCTTGCTTAGCTTTTCTATGAATTAGCTTTAGCTTTGTGCCCTCTGGATTTGGCATGTCTTCTCTGCCTTCATGAAAATATGATTCAAATATTGAGCATTAGGCTCTGCCTGCAGCACCCTTCTCTAGCTTGACATCGATCCATTGTTCAATAGATTATGTTTTGGTTGTGATTGTTTATCTAGTAACAGATCCTTTGATCATGGGTCCAGTTTGTGTATCCTTTGATTTCACAGGCCTGTCACGAGAGACTTTGTCAAGGACAAAATCAGATACCCCATGTCTTTGCCATTCCTCTGATCAACCAGGCTAATAACCAAACTGGAAAAAATGAGACTACATTGGGGTTATGCAAAGGAGGAGCTTAGGGCTGTGAATTTCTCTAGCTTTCTGGGAAGGAGGAAGGTGGCCTGAGAAGGCTCTGAGGACCCAGAGTGGGTCCGTGCCTACGTGGGCCCCCCGAGCGTCCTGAGCTCTGAGGACCCAGAGTGGGTCTGTGCCTATGTGGGCCCCCTGAGTGTCCTGTGCTCTGAGGATGGCCAGAGTGGGTCCGTGCCTACGTGGGCCCCCCGAGCATCCTGTGCTCTGAGGATGGCCAGAGTCAGTCCATGCCTACATGGCTGCCCAAGCATCCTATGCTCTGAGGATGGCCAGAGTGGGTCCGTGCCTATGTGGGCCCCCCGAGTGTCCTGTGCTCTGGAGACCCAGAGTGGGTCCGTGCCTACGTGGGCCCCCCGAGCGTCCTGTGCTCTGGAGACCCAGAGTGGGTCCGTGCCTACGTGGGCCCCCCGAGCGTCCTGTGCTCTGAGGATGGCCAGAGTGGGTCCGTGCCTACGTGGGCCCCCCGAGCGTCCTGTGTTCTGAGGATGGCTAGAGTGGGTCCTTGAGGAAATCACAGGTGCAGTGGTGTGCTGGAGCTCACCTCCCTGTGGGTGAGAGCCCATTGTGTGCATGGCTTCCCAGCTCTGTGTTCAGTGACACCATGTTTGTGGTTCATAATCAGCCATGGTGGGAGTGTTTACACACCAGCAGACACTACAAGTCAGGTCCCCTACCTCCTGCCGCCGCCGCCATTGGAGCCCAGCCAGTGTGGAGAGGTTGTTAACTGCCCGACACCGTGGCAGCGCTGTCCTGGGGCCGCAGCGGGGCAGGTCGTATATGAAGAGAGTGGAGATTAGCAGTTCTTGCCTCTCTCCCTGTCTTGAGAACTCTCACTTCTAACCCCACCCTTTCCTTTGGTGTCTCCTCAGGATGTGGGCTCCTTAGATGAGAAGATGAAGAGCTTGGATGTGAATCAGGACTCCGAGCTCAAGTTCCATGAATACTGGAGACTGATAGGGGAGCTGGCCAAGGAGATCCGGAAGGAGAGGGCCCTGGAGATCCAGAAGAAGTAAAGCCCTGACCAGGATAGTGCTGGGCGGTGCTAGCCAGGCAGAACCCCACTCCCTCCAAAAAAAAGCCTCTTCCTTGAAACACAAATGTTTCTTATTCCCACCCTACCCCTCTTTCTTCTCTTGAGAGTAGACAGTGGATAAGTTCTGCCCTGAACCAAGAGTGGGTCCAAAAATTATGAGCTCTTGGGGCGCCTGGTTTGGCTCAGTTGGTTAAGCGTCTGCCTTTGGCTCAAGTCATGATCCCAGGGTCCTGGGATCGAGCCCTGTGTCGGCTCCCTGCTCTGCGGGGAGCCTGCTTCTCCCTCTCCCTCTGAAGCTCCCCCTGCTTGTGCTTTTTCTCTGTCAAATAAATAAATGTCTTAAAAAAAATTATGAGCTCTTTAAGGATCAGGAATGTTAGTCATCTTTGGATTCGACAGCATCTAGCACCAGGTCTTGTACGGGGTAGGTGCTCAGTAAGTAAATGGTTGATGAATGAGTATATGAAAGGAAGGAACAGATCTCTGGGGCAAGTGTAGTGAGTCCTGTTCTGCCAGGTGCCTCCTTAGCTCCCACTTTTCCTATTCCTGGGGTTTGTGTCATTGGATGATAAGGATAGCAGTGAACTTGCGTTGAGGGCTTGCTATGTGCCAGGCACAGTACTAAACACTTTTCCTGTGTTAAGTTAGTTAATTCTCACAGCCCTTTGAGGTAGGTACTATTTTTTTCCACATTTTTATTTAAATTCTAGTTAGTTAACATATGGTGTATTATTGATTTCAGGAATAGACTTCAGTGGTCCATCACTTCCATACAGCACCCAGTGCTCCTCACAGCAGGCGCCCTCCTTACTGCCTGTCCCCTGTCTAGCCCATCCCCGGCCCACTGCCCTCCAGGGAGGTGCTATTTTTAGGTCCTATGTTAGAGATGAGGAGGCAGATTTTAGAGAGGCTGAGCTCACAAAGACAAGAATAGGTGGAACTGGGTTGATGTTCCATAGCCTCTGTGATGAACTAGGATCATCTCTGGATGGGCAGCTTGGGAACACTAGGCCCTCCTCTCCTTCCTCCCTGCATAGCAGGGTTGAGGCAGAAGAACGGACACAAGGATCTGGTATGAAGACTGTGGGATGGCCGGTGGTGCCCTTCTCCCCATCCTTCTTGGCTTGAGGGGCGTATGGTTTGCACTGCCCGCCACCAGAGGGAGCAGAGGCAGGGCAGCCCAGTGGGTGAGGCCTTCCGGCGGCTGTCACTGCCAGGGTCTGGTGTCCATTACTCCAAAGGAACATTTAGGCTGAGACAACCTCCCTACTACACACCAAAAAAGGGTCCTAGATTGAGACCTTCCATCTAAGTGCCCTCAGACTGAGAGACCCCAGAAGGACCCCCAGGCTGGGACTCTTTGAGCGGTCATTTGGCTGAAGACATTCCAGAGGGGATCTCACAGGGGGCTTCCCCACAGCGAGAGACTCTAGGAGGGTCCCCCAGACTGAGACTCCGCAGTGAGATCCAAGTTTGAGGCACTCTTGGAGAAACCCTCAGATTGAGCCCCTCAGGGGGTCCCCAGATTGAGCCCCTCTGAGGAACAGGATGGTGAGACACTGTTGGGAGGGCCTTTTCATGGAGACCCCTCTAGAAGTACAGGGGAGCCCTAGAAGGGGGCACAGGGACAGGCTGGGAGGGGCGTGGGGGACATGCCCCTGGCCTCAGAGTTCAGGCTTTGGGCCGCCCCCATCCTTGCCTTGACCCACACTAACTCGCCTGCCCTTCTCCCTTCCCCCCCCCCATCAGGTGAGGAGGTCCACGGGGGTCATTCCAGGCCTCCTGGGATGTCATCCTGGGCACTGGATTGGGGTGGGGGGGCGGTTAGGGAAGGCATGGGTTTCTGAGGGAGGGAGAAGTAGGCAGCCCAACCTGTTTGGAGGGGTTCTTAACTGCCGGGTAAGCCATCTGGGTCTCTCTCACACATGTGTGTGCTGGCTGAGGGGAGCTGAAGGGGAGCCGGGACAACACTCAGTCGGGCCCCCTCTACCAGGCTGCCCTTCTGTGGCTCCTTCCCCACCTCTCAGCCATGGGGACTGCAGGTATGAGTGTCACCACCCAAACTGGCCCCGGTGGGAGGAGTATGAGTGCGTGTGTGTGACATAGCAAAGTACAGAGTGGTCCCTGGGGACCTCTCTCAATTCACATGTCCCTCATTCCCTTGGGACCACGAGCCCTGCCTCGATCAGCCTCTGATTCTCCTTCTCAAAGCCCCTCCACTTCCCTGCCCTACAGTTCTTCCAGGATTTTCCTCCCGGGCTTGACCCCGCAGTGTTGCCAAGCCCCCACTCTTCCCTTCCCTTTCTCTTGCCTTGACTCTGCCTGCTGGTCTGGGGCCAGGGGCAATCCAGACCCAGCCCTTCATGGTCCCCTCCAGTGGCAGGGTGGGCGGGCTCTTGGGGCTCTGGCCAATGGAGGGTGGGGCCCACGCCCCTGGCTCACAGCCCAGACGACAGTAATAGCAGGGGCGGCTTAGGGAGGAGGCCCAGCCCCCTGCCTTCCCTCCCTGCCCCCAGCTATAAGAGCTGAGCTCAGGTGCGCCAACTCCTAGCGTCCTGTCCCAGCAGCTCCCAGCAGGTAAGGAGACACAGGGCTTTTCAACTAAATGGGCTGCCCCCCTGTCCAGAGGGCAACACTTGGCTATTCTACCCTAGCCTGCCAGGAGAAGGGCTGGGAGCCAGGTCCTAGAGGCTGGGGTGTGTGTGTGTGTGTGTGTGTGTGTGTGTGTGTGTGCATAGCAGAGGTGAGTGGTGGGAAGAAGTGGGAGGATTGATCCAGGGTGAGGCGCAAGGGATTCCCTCTAGATGGGTGGGCCTGGGGGCTGTGACCTTAGCTCCTGCCTGGATCCTTCACAGGGACCGGGCCTCGTGTGGAGCTGGCCCCGACCTCCTGAGTGAGGCACAGAATATCTGGGGTACAGCCAGAGGGGATATTTGAGAAAGAAATGCTGAGCCCTCCCATCCCCTCCGTCTCCCTCCTTCTCTAGGCAGATCATGAGCCATCGGCTCCCCTGGGGCCAGCTGTAGGGACAACACAACTCTCACCAGGACAAGCGCACCGGGCACCATGGGACAGTGTCGGTCAGCCAATGCTGAGGTGGGCCCATTCATGCCTGGCCTTTCTGTTCCCACGCTCCACTCCTCCACCTTGAGGGTCTGCGTCCCTATTGACTTCTGCCCCCTTGCCTTGGCCTTGCCTTGTACCCTAGACCTTGCCTGGAAGACCTAAACTCCTCTCTGGTGTCCACACAGGATGATGTGTCCACACAAGGAACCCTCCTGAGAAGAGGTGTCTATGCCTCATGCTAGAACCCATCCTGCGTGGGGGCTGTCAGTGACAGGGAGGAAGCCTTGCTTGGCCTGTGGCTCAGGGCAGAGGACAGTGGGGGTAGGGGGGCTAGATGCTGGGCTCTGGAGTGGGTGGGAGCCTCTGTGCCTTCCAGCTGTCTTCTGCCCCATTAGCCAGGGTGGTGTTGGGTGGGTGGAGCCTCCCTGATGTTGGTGATGTCCCCTGCCCTCAGGATGCGCAGGAATTCAGCGATGTGGAGAGGGCCATTGAGACCCTCATCAAGAACTTCCACCAGTACTCTGTGGAGGGTGGGAAGGAGACGCTGACTGCCTCCGAACTACAGGACCTGGTCACCCAGCAGCTGCCCCACCTCATGCCGGTACTGGGTGGGCCCCACCCCAGGCAGCACCCTGACTTCCCCAGCAAGGTCTCCAAGACCCCACCCACAGTGCCCCAGCCCCAGGCACTAACAACCCCTAGCCCTTCCCCTTGCCAGTGCCAGGTAGGCACAGGTCCTGCGTCCTGCCCCCGGGCAGGGTGGGGCAGGAAGACTGGAGGTTCTGCCTTGCTGAGCTGTGGTGTCTTCCCTCCCCTCAGAGCAACTGTGGGCTGGAAGAGAAAATTGCCAACTTGGGCAGCTGTAACGATTCTAAACTGGAGTTTGGGAGTTTCTGGGAGCTGATTGGAGAAGCAGCCAGGAGCGTGAAGCTGGAGAGCCCTGTCCGGGGCAGCTGAGAACATTTTCCTGGAATTCTTGAGGGGATGTTGGGGTCTAGAAATAAAAGTCCTCTCCACCTGCACCACATGATTCCCCCATCTGCACCTGCCTCACCTCTGCAAGGTTCAAGGCCTCAGTGACCCTCCCCAGGGCTCTCTGGGCACTTCATCCCTGGGAGCGCCGTGGAGCTAACGGGTCCAGGAGGCCCCCACCAGAGGGAGGCTCGAGGGGGGGTGGGTGGGGGCCAGGGTTAGGTGTGGTGAGATGCTGGAGGGGTAAGGATGGTGAGAGGGCCAGGTAATTTGGTTCGGGGGGGCGGTGGGAGGGCAGAGAGGAGGTGGGCTACCGGAAATGATTGGAAGAAGGGGGCTGGGAATGGGGCTGGGTATTTGTTACTAAAAAGGGTCTCTGAGAACCTACCCTTCCTAATCTCTTCCCCAACCCACACAGTAGCTGTCTGTCCGGTGCTACACCTTCCTGCCTCCGGCTCTGCCCAGCCTCGTCCCAGGACTCTGTCCCTGGCCTAGGGCAGGGGACGAGAAAGAGCAGGCTGAGGGAGAGGCAGAGGAGGGTGTGACTTTGGGAGAGGACCAACTGGGTGCTTGGGCATTTAAAGAATGATGGTTGTTTTGTATCATTTGATTAATAAAAAAATGGAAAAAGAAAAGATGTTGTCTTGACTGGACATCTACCCCCCACCTTGGTCCCCAGGTGGTTTGGGGTGAATGGCAGAGTCCTTGGTGGCCCGGGACACGTGGGGCTGTGGTGGTTGCAGTGGGAGTGAGTGGGGGACTCACTTTTCCCCATGGATTTGGCTTGAGGATGGGTCCCAGGCCCCAAGTTGGGAGACCTGGTTCTCTCTGAAGGATAGGCTTCTCTTTGCCAAGGGGCTGGTCCTTTGACAAGAGAGAGGCCACGTGTGCTTACCTGGGGAAGTGGTTATGGACCCAGGTGTGCTGGACCTTGGCTGACTGGCAGCAAGGGAAAGGCAGGGCTGAGAAACAGACCGAGCAGCCTGGGTTTGCGCCCAGCTCTGCTACTGATTATCTCTGGAGGTTTGGGCATGCTCCCAGAGTGTCAGTTTCCTCATCTGTAAAATGGAGTCTCCATATCTCTCTAGATTTGTTAAGAGGATAGTGGACACATCACATAAAGTCCTTAGAAGAGAGCCTGACACAGAGCAAGTGCCCAGAGCTGAAGTCTCTACTGGCCAATTCCCTTGGGTGTCCTGGGGAAGGGGTGGAGGGGTGTTTCCAGAAGAATCCTCTGCTGCACCTGACAGGTCCTAGGAATGGGTGTCAGCTCCTGGTGGTCGGAACGGGAGTCGGAAGGCCAGGGGCCAGGCTCTGCTGCGGCTTCTGACTGGGGCCCACAGAAATCAGGCATTACTCCTGAAATCCTAGGAGCAAGGAAGTTTCTGTGGCTGGCCTGGAATGCTCATTGAACTTGTCTGTTGGGGGACCCTGAAACTGGGCTCCCAGTGATCCAGGTGATCAGGGCAGGTGACAGCCCTTCCCTTTCTTCTCCACCGACTAGATTCTTTCTGCTCAGGCCCTGCAGGATGAGGAGGGTGGAGTGTGGGGGGGTGCCTGCTTCCACCACTCCCTTTGGGGTGGGGGTGGAGGGGTGTTAAAAAAGGTGTGTATCCCTTTAACAAGGGCCCAACCCCAGGGCTAAGTCAAGAGGGAGCTCAGTCACTACCTCCCCACTGAGCCAGCTCAGCCAGGCACGCTGCTGAGGGAGTGGGACAGATTCTGGGAGCGAAGCGGGGAGGAGTCCTGGCCGAGCTGAGCGAGGGGTTGGGGGAGCAGCTTGGCAGTGCCAGAGCCCAGGCCCCAGAGCCCTGCTGGAGAGGAGACAGTCCGAGGAGGCAGGTGAGCACCCCCAGCCCATCCTGGGAGGTCTGGGGCTGCTGGAGAGGCCCTGCAAGCATTTGGGGCCGGGAGGAGGGGCAGTGAAGGGAGCCTGGAGCGGGGGGCCTGCTAGAGACTGGGCAGGAAGGTTCGGTTAATTGTTAATTTTCCCACAGGCTGGTTTGGGGATGGAGATTTCTGGTGGGGCTGGGGGCTGGAGAGGCCTTCAGAGGCGTGGATGGGGTGGGGAGACCCCCCTCCCTACCCCAGAGGCTGACGGGGCTCTTCTCCAGGGCCTGGGCCGCAAGGCAGAGTGCTCAGGAGCTTTGTCGCAGCTGCTCCAACCCTCCCTTAACAGAAAAAGGACAAACGCGTGTTGGTGGGGGTTGGGAGGTGGTCAGACCTGGACACAGGCCTCACCCAGCTCTGGGAACTGTGTCCTGGGAGAGGTGATGGGGTCCAGGAGGAACCAGGAAGGGCCCAGCGAGCCTGAGAGCCCGAGGAGAGGAGACTTGTTTCCACTTCAGGACCCAGGCAGGTTGTGGCTTGACTGGCTTTGCTTGGCAGAGCCACCTGCACTGTTGGGGCCTTGCGGTGCCCAGCCCTGTAGGGTTGGGGGTGAGGGCAGGGGTGCTCCGAGAGGGAGCACTGCAAGTGCTGGTGGGCCGGGCTCAGCCTTCCTTGCTGACTAGTAAAGAGCTCTCTGGCTGTTGGTGAGACCAGGGGCAGTAGGCTGTGTGAGTGTCCACACCATACTCCAACTCCACCTATCTGGACACTGCTCCAGAGGAGTAGGCTTCTTCCTCCAGAGACATGCTCTAAAGCAGAGGTGAGTGGACGGGGCATGGGGGCTCTGTGTGTGGATGCGTGAATTAGATGCAGTGAGTCCTGTGAGGGTGGGGGTGGGCAGGGGCACCTGTGTGAGACATTAGCCTCTGGAACCAGGGAAGGAGTGAGAAGACGGAGCACAGAATGGCGCTGTTGAGGTTGGAGATATTCATTTGAAACAGCCTTGCAAATAGAGTGACAAGGTACCAGCCAATTCAGATCACACTTTCCCTGTGTACTGAAGGCACTTGGGGCAGACGAATGAATGAAGAAGGAAAGGAATGAGTGAATGAACAAGAGAACTAGCAGGTGATTGAATGAGTGAATAAATGAGTTGATGGATGAAGAAGGAAATAAACGATGAGAAATGAGTGAACTGGGGCGCCTGGGTGGCTCAGTCGTTGAGCGTCTGCCTTCGGCTCAGGTCATGATCCCAGGGTCCTGGGATCGAGCCCCGCACCGGGCTCCCTGCTCCGCGGGAAGCCTGCTTCTCCCTCTCCCACTCCCCCTGCTTGTGTTCCCTCTCTCACTGTGTCTCTTTCTGTCAAATAAATAAATAAATAAATAAATAAATAAATAAATAAAAGAAATGAGCGAATGAATTTGAGGTGTATGAAAGGGACACAGGAAACACCAAATTCAGGCTTGAGAGTGGGCCAAGCTCTAGAGAGGACGGTGACCAGGAGGCATAGAAATTCAGGGACACCTCCTAACACCTAGAGACTATTCAAGACTTGAGAAGAGTGTGTGTAGTGGGGAGAGAGAGTGGATTTGTGTGTGGTGGATGTTCAGGGCTCCAGACTGAAGGGGACTGGGGGTGGTTAGGAGGCAATTGGAGGGGTGAGGCCTAGAACCTGGGGTTGGGAGGCGGGGCTGCTGTGGCCAAGACCCAGGGTCAAGGGTCAGAGCGCTCCTAGGCTTTGGGAGAAGTCAGCAAGCAGGACTGAGGTGGGCGGGGATGGGGTGGGGCCTCTGGGTTGCTCAAGGATGAATCAGCTAAGGAAGGGACAAGGAGAACATTGCAGGAGGGTTGGGGGCTCTGGGTGAGAAGGCCCTTTGGAGGACAAGTGGTGTCCCCACTCCTACATTTTGGGAAGGCTCTAATGTACATGTCCACCCCACTCCCCAGGCTCTCAGGCCAGGACCTACCTCCTGCCAACCCTTCCTAGGAGGGGCTGATGGGACAGCTTGACCCTCCGGCCTGATTCCACCTTGGCCGGTGGCTGACTGCGGCAGGTGGGAGGGGCAGGTGCCTGTGTCCTGGCCTCCAGCGGAGGGAGGGAGGAAGAGGGTAATGACACCTGACTGACTATCCCACTCTGATATCCTTCCTCCAGAAAAAGCTTGGAGAAGCATTTATCCAGATGGCTATCTCCCCCCTTCCCGTTTGGCTAGAAGGTGGGGGTGGACCACTGGGGACCAAAAATCAGGGCTGTTGAGGCAGGCAGCTGACTGTCCTGGGTGCTCAGCTGTGTCTGGCCTGCTCGGCTGCCAGAGGCCAGGTGGGGGCTGGGACGTGGGATCAGGAAGGGCAGGAGGAGTCCGAGAAACAAGACTCTAACAAAGGTGGGGGGGGTGAGGGGGCCGGGGGCGCCGGGGGAGGGGGTGGAGGCACAGCACCCGAAACCTGATAGCTTTCTCTTTCCTCTCCCTGACTAGTTCCCACAGGGTTCCTCACTTAGGAACAAGGTCTGGAATGGTTTAGGTTTGGGGGTTCTCTGAGCTCCCTTCCTACTCCCAAACCCTGGTGGGGAGTAGGCTTGGCACCGTCCTTGCTGAGGTGGGTACAGCTTTTGGAATCCCCGGGAATGCTGGTCCTGGTCCTGGGCCACTCCCCACTCAGGGGCAGCAGAGCACTGGTTTGTGGATCGAAACTCTTCTCCCTTGTCATTTGTGAGTGCTAGGGTGTTTGCATGAAAGTCTTATATTGGAGGGCGCCTGGGTGGCTCAGCCGTTAAGCATCTGCCTTCGGCTCAGGTCATGGTCCCAGGGTCCTGGGATCGAGCCCTGCATCGGGCTCCCTGCTCGGCGGGAAGCCTGCTTCTCCCTCTCCCGCTCCCCCTGCTTGTGTTCCCTCTCTGGCTGTCTCTCTCTCTCTCTCTATTGAAAAATAAATAAAATCTTTAAAAAAAAAAAAGAAAGAAAGAAAGTCTTATATTGGACCTCACAGTCACACACCTTTTTTTTTTTTTTTTAAGATTTTATTTATTTATTTGACAGAGAGAGAGAGAGGGAGAGGCAACATGCCCAGAGCATGTTCCTGCAGGGGGAGCAGGAGAGGGAAAAGCAGATTCCCTGATGAGCAGGGAGCCTGATGCCGGATCCCAGGCCCCTGGGATCATGACCTGAGCTGAAGGCAGACGCTTAACTTTCTGAGACACCCAGGCGCCCCCAGTCACACACTTAATGAACAAAGAGCCTGGGGAAAGAATGTGGTTTCTTAGGGTCCCAGTTCCATTCTCCATCCTCCAGCCACAGACCAGAGTGGTCAGGTGGGCAAGGCAGGGACAGAAGGCAGCGTCCCTGGTCAGAGACGCTCCTCTGTCTCAACCCCCACTTCCTTCCTCCATTAGGGCCTCATCCCCCCGGGGCACATCCTTCCTTCATAAAGAGCTTTGTAAGGGAAGTATCTTAGAAGGGTGGTCAGAGGCTTTGGATACCTGGTACCAGGGCTGGAAGGAGGTAGAATATTTATAGAACATACACCTCAGGTAAGCCATTGCGCCAGATGATGCAGGCGAGGGGAGATGCAGAGATTAAAAGCAGGGAGCTTATGTACTTAGGATTTTATTTTATTTTTTTTTTTTTAAAGATTTTATTTATTTATTTGAGAGAGAGAGAGAGAGAACATGAGAGGGTGGAGGGTCAGAGGGAGAAGCAGACTCCCCGCTGAGCAGGGAGCCCGATGTGGGACTCGATCCGGGGACTCCTGGATCATGACCTGAGCCGAAGGCAGTTGCTTAACCAACTGAGCCACCCAGGTGCCCTGTACTTAGGGTTTTAAAAAAGTGGTCCTGAAGTCTATGAGTCATGCCCTTTGGTTCAGAAAACACGATGGCTGCATGTAAGAAACTATCCTTGCCTCAAGGAATGCCTGGTATCTGGGGAGACCAGACCCCGGAAGAGACGGTAGCCCCCGCCAGTGCGGCCTGGGAGTCTGGGGGCCAGGGAGGCAGGGTGCCAAGGGCAGGGGATAGGGCTGTGGTGAGACCTGGCCAAGCAGACCTCTCTTCCAGGTTGGGCCATGGATGCCCAGGACTGGATGGTGGCTGTGTCCACCTTCCCTTGCCAGGACCCGACAGCAGGGCAGCTGTAGCGCATTCCTGGGCTTGGGGGCGGGAAGGAAGGCTCATTTGCCCCGGTTCACTTGGGGGGGCTCTGGGCATGGGCGGCAACTCCCAGAGTAGACCCGCCTGTTCCCCTCATATCCTGTTATTCAGAAGGCTGTGTCCGCTTGGACTGTGAGTGCCTTTTGTCCTGGTGTGAGGGGGATACATGTGGTCTCTGGCGGCAGCTCTGTCTCCAGCTGGGGCAGGACCAGGCCTAGCTCCTCCTTAGGTAATGGGCTGGAGGGTCTTTGGGTCCTCCTATGTATTTTGGGGTGGATATGCGGGAGGGCAGCCTAGCAGGGTGTAGGTGGTGTTCTGCAGAAAGTCTGACTCAATGGATGAGGGTAACGTCCTTTCCCTTCCCGGGGCTCCTGAGGTCCCTGTCCTGGTGCCCAGCTGAAGGGACTGGGGAGGACCTAGGTCCCTGCCCCCTGCTCTGTGGCCTGGGCCAGGGTCTCTGCCAATCCTGCCACTGGGGGGATACAGCTTCTGGCCTCCCTGCCCCCTTCTAGCTGTGTGCTTGCTCCCAGGGCAGGGGCCCTGGGTGGGTCAGGTGTGGAGAGGGCAGAGGGATGGGCACTTACTCTACCCCCTTCCCACGGGAGCCTCCTGATCTCACTGGGGCTCTGACAGGCCAAGTGCCTGGGGCTGGGGCAGGGCCTGGGGAAGCTGCTGGGGGAACCTGTTGGGGCGGTCGAGCTGGTGAGCATCTGGATTACAGCAACCCCACAGTTCGCATTCCAGGCCCACCCTGGTGCCCCCCTTTTCCTGTCTCATCCCTCCTGCCAGCCTGGGGGCCCAGGGGGAGGATGAGGGCAGGGGGCCGGAGGCGGTTTGGACTGTGAGGTCTCCTCACCTCCCCTGTTCATGGTGCCCAGGCCCCCCGAGGAGTGAGGCGGTGAGATGGCAGACTGCTACACGGAGCTGGAGAAGGCGGTCGTGGTCCTGGTGGAAAACTTCTACAAGTACGTGTCTAAACACAGCCTGGTCAAGAACAAGATCAGCAAGAGCAGCTTCCGGAAGATGCTTCAGAAAGAGCTCAACCATATGCTGACGGTGAGGTGCCCCCACCCAAGGGCCTTGTCTACCCCCCAAGCCTTTGTCCTCACATGGGTACCCTCCCTCACTGTGCCTTCTGTCTTTTCAGAGTGACCCCCCAAAACAGGGTCTCCCCCCCTCCCCGCCCAGGCCTCTGTCCTCTCAGGGTACCCAGGCCTGACCAGGGAGGGCTCGGTTCGAATCTTCCCAGGCAGCAGCTACTCAGGCCAGAGCCCCAGGAGTCCTGCCTTGGGCTCTGTGGGGCCGCTGCCCTCAGCACTGCTGACCCCCATTCCTCTCCAGGACACGGGAAACCGAAAGGCTGCCGACAAGCTCATCCAGAACCTGGACGCCAACCACGATGGGCGCATCAGCTTCGATGAGTACTGGACCTTGATAGGCGGCATCACCAGTCCCATTGCTAACCTCATCCGCCAGCAGGAACAGCAGGACAGCAGCTAGAGGACCCTCCCACCTTCCCTTCATGGCGCTGCCTGCCGCCCAGCCCCTGGTGCACTTCCCAGGCTCCCCTCAGCCTCCTCTGCCCACCCAGGCTCCCACCCTCGCTTCTCCCTCCAGACCTTCTGCTGGCCCTTGCTGAACAGGGCAAAGGGCCCCTTTGTGATGTCTCAGTCTGGGGGTGACTCCCTAGGGGTCTTAGTCCCTGGAGCCAGCAGGCTCTGAGGCCCCCTCTGAGTTTTCAATGCTGTTTGGGGGGTCCCATGAGTTTCCTCGCCTGCTTAGTCCATCAGCCCTTCCAGCGGCTGATGTTCTGCCTGATTCGGGGTCTCTCCCGACCTCTGGAGGTCAGCTTGCTGCTTGAGGTCTTCCTGCTCCTGGCAGCGGCAGCAGAGCTCTCCCCTTTCTCTCACCCCCTTTGCTGGGTAGAGAAGATTCCCAGGGACTTCCCTCCCAGCTCTGGGTCAGGGGACAGCTGAGCAGGGCTGGGCCCCCACCTTCCTACTCACTGAAGCGATGGCAGTGAGGCTGGATTTGGAGTCTGTACCCTTCACCCAGTCCCGTTGTGATGCTCATTAAAGCCTTTCCGCTCCCTGGAACCTCCTCATTCCTTCGTGGTCTTTGCCCTGGGGCCTGAGGCAAGGGGGAAATCTCACCAGAGAGAGAAGCTAGAATGCCTGGGTCTGGCAGGTGCTGTTAGCCCTGGGTCAGAAGCAATCCCCATCTGGCTCCGTGAAGGGTCGAAAGCCATGTGTCACCATCCCTGGGCCCTTGTAGCCCCCATTCAGACTCCCGTTCCACTTCTGGGCACACAGTGTGTCCCATTAGGCCTCTTTCCAGTTCCATAAGAGAGCAGCCGCAACCCTCAGCCTCGACTCATCCTCATCAACAGATTCTTCTAATACCCAGAGAAGTTTGTGGGATGGGAAAGTAAGGGTGAAGGAAAGGGGTGCGGGAGGCCAGAGCTGACCTGTGGGGTGGGGGGGCAATGCTGGCTTCTCCCTGTTCTTGCCCTGAGTGAGACAGCACCCCGCCCCTCTGGAAGGCCAGCAGTAAGGCAGGAAACCCAGCCAGCAGGCTGCAGATCAAGGGCGTTCCACCTGGGGTGGTGTGCTCCAAAATTTCAGATTTTTCAGAAGAGGCACAAGGATAGGCTGTTTTATTGAACTCCATTTACAGATCCTCGAGTTTTTCAGATAATCTGCTCAGGACAGGCCTTTAGTCACGGTGGTGAGCGGTCCCCTTCCTCAACTCCCTTTTACAGTGACCCCTCCCCAGTTACCCTTTGCCTGTCCTGAGGGTCACTGCGCTGCCCTAAGTGGGGAAGAGCTTGTTCACATTTCTTTGGGGGGGGTCTCTATATACGATTGTGGTAAAAAACATGTAACATAATTTTACCCTCAACAACTTTTTTTTTTCCCCAAGATTTTATTTATTTGAGAGAGAGAGAATGAGCAGGGTTACGGGCAGAGGGAGAAGCAGACTCCCCATTGAGCAAGGAGCCCGATGCGGGGCTCGATCCCAGGACCCTGGGATCATGACCTGAGCCCAAGACTGATGCTTCACTGACTGAGCCACCAGGCGCCCCTCCCTCAACAGCTTTTAAGGGTACATTCTGGTTGTTAACTACATGTACTTTGTTGTACCGCAGATCTTGAGAACTTTTTCATCTTCCATGACTGAGACCCTGTACATCAAAGAGCAGACCCCTCAGCCCCTGGAAACCACTATTCTACTGTGTGTTTCTATGAGTTTGATGACTTTAGATATCTCAGATAAGTGGAATCCTGCCATATTTGTCTTTAGGGTTGGCTTAAATCACGTGGTATAATGTCCTCACGGTTTATCCCTGTTGTTGCATACACCACCATTTCCTTCTTTTTAAAGGCTGGATAATATTCCATTCTATGTATACCACATTTTCCTTATCATTCACCTGTTGGCGGACATGTAAGTTGCTTCTACTTCTTGGGAGCACTAATATCTTTTCAAGATTCTATTTTCAATGCTTCTGAGATACACCCAGAAGTGGGATTGCTGTTAGTTCTATTTTTCAAATTTTTGGGGAACCTCTGCAGTGGCTGCACCAGTTTGCATTCCCACCGACAGTGCACGAGGGTTTTGATTTCTCCACATTCTTGCCAACACTTTGTTTTTTTTTTTTTTTTTTTGATAGTGGTCGTCCTAACAGGTGTGAGGTGATATCTAGTGGTTTTGATTTGCATTTCCCTGATGTTGAGCATCTTTTCATGTGCTGTGGACGGCATATCTGCTTTGCATAAATGTCTATTCAATGTCGATTTACTCTCTCTCTCTCTCCTTCTTCTTCTTCTTCTTTTTTTTTTGAGTAGGCTCCATGCTGGGCTTGGAGCCCGACATGGGGTTTGAACTCACAACCCTGAGATCATGACCCGAGCCGAGGTCAGGAGTCAGACGCTTAACCAACTGAGCCATTCAGGCGCCCCTATTTGCTCATTTTAAATTGGGTGATTTGTGTCTTGTTGTTGTTAATATTGAGTTGTAGTTCTTTTGTATTTTTTTTAAGATTTTATTTTTTTAAATTTTATTGTTTAAATTTTAAAAGTTTTTTTTTAGGTAATCTCTACACCCAGTGTGGGGCTTGAACTCACCATCCCGAGATAGAGAGTTGCATGCTCCACCAACTGAACCAGCTCGGTGCCCCTTTATGTATTCTTAATATTAACCTCTTGTTCAATGTACGGTTTGCAAGTATTTCTCACCTCTTGTAGGCTACCTTTTCACCCTGTTGTTTCCTCTCCTCCGCAGAAGTTTTGAACTTTGATGTAGTCCCATTTGTCTATTTTTGCTTTTGTTAGCTAGCTGCTTTTGGTGTCATATCCAAGAAATCATTGCGCATTCCAATGTCATGAAGATTTCCCCCTATGTCCTCTTCTAGGAGTTTTATGGTTTTAGGTCTTATGTTTAGGATTTTAATCCATTTTGAATTAATTTTTGTTTGCGGTGTAAGGTCTGGGTCCCACTTTATTCTTCTGCGTGTGGATGTCCAATTTTCCCAATACCATTTGTTGAGGAGACTGTCTTTCCCCATTGTGTCGTCTTGGCAGCCTTGTTGAAAATCATTTGACCATGTAACTAAGGCTTTATTTTTGGGCTCTTCATTCCATTCCACTAGTCTATATGTCTGTCTTTATGCCACTTCCATAGTGTTTTGATTACTGTAGTTTTGTGGTATGTTTTGAAATCAGAATGTGTGAGGCCTCTAGCTTTGTTCCTTTTTCTCAAGATTTTTTTGGCTACCTGGGGTCCTTTGAGATTCAATATGAATTTTAGGATAGTTTTTTTCTATTTCTGCCAAAAAAAAAAAAAACCCACCTTTAGGATTTTGATAGGGATGCATTTAATCTGTAGATCCCTTTGGGTAAGACCAACATTTCAACAATATGAAGTCTTCCAATCCATGAACATAGGGCTTCTTTCTATTCATCTCTTCTTGCTTTCAGCAGTGTGTTCTGTAGTTTTCAGCAGAGGAGTCTTCGGCCTGCTTGCCTAATTCCTAGTTATATTATTCTTTTTTTTTTTTTTAAGATTTTATTTATTTATTTGACAGAGAGAGACACAGCGAGAGCAGGAACACAAGCAGGGGGAGTGGGAGAGGGAGAAGCAGGCTTCCCGCTGAGCAGGGAGCCCAATGCGGGGCTCGATCCCAGGACCCTGGGATCATGACCTGAGCCGAAGGCAGACGCTTAACGACTGAGCCACCCAGGCGCCCTATATTATTCTTTTTGATGCTGCTGTAAATGAGATTATTTTCTTAATTTCCTTTTTGGACTGTTCAGTGCTAGTGTATAGAAACACAACTGATAATTTTGAGTGTTGATTCTGTGCCAGCAACTTTGCTGAATGTATTAGTTTCTTTAGGGTTTTGTACGTATAAGATCATGTCACCTGGAAACAGAGGTAATTACTTCTTCCTTTCCTGTTTGGATGTCTTTTATTTCTTTTCATTGCCTAATTGCTGTGGCTAGGACTTCCAGAACTTTGTTGAACAGAAGTGATGAGAGGGGGTGTCCTTGCTTTGTTCCTAGTCTTAGAGGAAAAGCTCTCCGTTTTTCACTGTTGAGTATGACGTTAGCTGTGGGTTTTCATATATGGCTTTTACTGTGTTGAGGTATGTTCCTTCTTTTCCTAGTTTGTTGAGTGTTTATCATGAAAGGGTGTTGAATTTTTTTTTAAAGATTTTATTTATTTATTGGACAGAGAGAGACACAGCGAGAGAGGGAACACAAGCAGGGGGAGTGGGAGAGGGAGAAGCAGGCTTCCCGCGGAGCAGGGAGCCTGATGCGGGACTCGATCCCAGGACCCTGGGATCATGACCTGAGCCGAAGGCAGACGCTTAATGACTGAGCCACCCAGGCACCCCAGGGTGTTGAATTTTGTCAAATGTTTTTTCTACGTCAATTGTGATGAGCATGTGTTTTTTTCTTTTGTTCTGTTAATGTGGTGTGTTATGTTTATTGCTTTTTTTTTTTTTAAAGATTTTTTTGATTTATTTGACAGAGAGAGAAAGAGCACAATCAGGGAGAGTGGCAGGCAGAGGGAGAAGCAGGCTCCTTGCTGAGCAGGGAACCTGACACGGGGCTCAATTCCAGGACCCTGGGATCATGACCCAAGCTGAAGGCAGATGCCCAACTGACTGAGCCACCCAGGCACCCCTCATTTATTTTTCTTTGAAATTCTTTCTTTTTATTAAGACTTGATTTTTTTTTAGAGCACTTTTGTGTTCAGCAAAATTGAACCCACACATGCACAGCTTTCCCCATTGGTGACATCCTGGACCAGAGCCGTACCTTTGTTACAACTGATGAACCTCCACTAATACCTCACAACCACACAAAGTCTGTAGTTTACATTACGGTTCACTGTTGGTGTTGTACCTTCTATGGGTTTGGACAAATGTGTAAGGACATGTATCTGTCATTATAATATGTTGCAGAGTATTTTCACTGCCTTACAAATCTTCTTTCTTCTCTTTTAATGTAGATGCTCCCTGCTATAAACTTCCCTTTTGGCACTGCTTTTGCTGCATCCCATGTTTTGGTATGCTGTGTTTTCATTTTTATTTTATTATTATTATTATTATTATTATTATTAAAGTAGGCTCCATGCCCAGTGTGGAGCTCAGTGCGGGACTTGAACTCATGACCCTGAGATCAAGACCTGAGCCAAGACCAAGAGTCAGACACTTAACCGACTGAGCCACCCAGGTGCCCCTTTATTTTTTATATTTTTATTTTTTTTAAAGATTTTATTTATTTATTTATTTATTTATTTGAGAGAGTAAGAGAGAGCATGAGTGAGGAGGAAAGGGAGATGTAGGTTCCCCATGAGCAGGGAGCCTGACGTGGGGCTCGATCCCAGAATCCTGAGATCATGACCT